CTGTATATGGCAAAACTTCTGTATGGCCGAAATCACTAATATAATTTACACTTGTGCTCCATCACAGACATTACAACTGCCCGACATAATACCCCATCTCCACTGTCCTTGTGACGTCCTAAGCAAACCGATCCTGGCAATGGTGGTTCCTGCAATGGTTGCTTTGGACGGCTGTTTATTTCACTCATAAGACGAGTCAGTACAGCTCTCATGCTTTCAATCTGCACAGAAAATTTTTGTGGACCATCTTCCACATGTGATATAAGCACTTCATGATCCGAACCAACGTCTAATACTCGCGATTTAAACACGAGTGCTTCTTGAATTGGTGGAGGCAGTGGATGCTGTGACATCGAATGAGCAACATGCTTGTGTTGATTTATGTCAGGAGAAAAAGTTTTATGATACAATCCTTGCATATTGACATTATGATTCATATTTAGATTCTGCATCATTGGCATTGGTGCAAAGTTATTCATATTGCCTTTATTTTGTTGCTGATATACTGGCATTTGAAGTGGCTGAAGCATTCGAGGTTGCAGCGTATGTTTTGGTCTAAATAAAAATTTAATATAAAAAAAATTTTGAAAACTTTATATCATATAGGGGAAAAAAGAAATATAAAATATATTAATACCTGAACATATCTTGCAAAGTGGCTGGCAAAGCCATATGTTCCTTTACCAATAGTTCACTGAAATCTCCATTGTTGTACCACAGTTTTATCAGACAATGATTATGCATCATCTGAACTAAGGCTCTATATTCGTTGTAACATAAAATCTTTTTAATTCTCTCGATCGTCCTGTTCTCCCAAATACCATTTACAGGCAATATATTGATCAGTGTAAACTCTGCTGCCATTGCTGGATAAGCTCGCAGAGGTTCTGATCCATGTATATTGTCTAATAAATGAATTTCGGTTGGTGGTAGAATTTCCACATTGCCATAGTCAATAAATTGTACAACAATCATTCCATCAGGACGCACACTGAGTATCTTCGCTCGAAAATAACCATCAGACTGAAATCTGGCACAGCACAAAGTACCACTGATCAGTCTACTGCCTTTGGAAGGACAACCATACCCTTGATTGAACTGTTCTGTTAGTGGACCTATATAATGTTCTACAGCAGTAGCAGCTTGCTTATCCACTTGGCCCCAGATCTTTAAATATATATCATTGGGCTCTACATGAGTGACAAAAATGATAAGTTCAGAGGATAGTTGCGTGTGTTGGGTCATGTTGACTCGTTCTGGCAACATTTTTAGGTCGAATTGCTTTTTCCTTATACGTGCCAACCTTCTTTCTCGTTTTTTCGGCTTCCGTTCAAACTCTTCTCATCTACAACATAATACGACAATTTAATTTACAAGGAACCTTATCTCTGTCTTTCTCTTTCTTTCTACTTTCTATTGCCTTCGCAAATGTTTTGAGATGCCGCAGGTATTAGATTACGCCACCAATTATGCGATTACAGCCCAACCGGAAAACGAGTCTTCACCTCGATTCGAGTTGGTGAGAAATTTCGAAGCTTGCAATTCGATGCAGCCTCGTGTACGTATGTCGATCCCAGTTCGTCCAGAACGACGCATTCCAATGTCCGTATCTCGATCGCTATTTTTCGTCTTCTAAACAGCTCGCGAGCGCGTTCCACTTCATCGAACCTCTCTTTTCTTCCCTCCCAATCGCTTTCACCACCGGTAATCGCGCGCTAATCATCGAAACAATTTTGTCCTTGCTGTCGACCCTTTATTGTGCGGCTATATACAACGTACACATCCGACACAACGCAAACGACACGTAACTTTTTACGAAAGAAAAAAAAGGGATCTGCGAGCGGACGAAATGCTCGGATATTTAGTATGGTTACCTGAAATTCGATGTATTTTCGTTTCGTGTCACTTTTTCTCAATCTACTCGATCCGTTAATGACGCGATTCTACTATATCTCAAGCCTCGTTTTGAAAATCGCATCTTTTGGCGTTGATCCTTTGTTTAATGGGAACATCGAATGGTCTTATGGTCGAAAACGCGCTAAATTTAAATAGGGTGAACAAATCGATGTGTATTCTCGAAAACAAATGGAATAACAGAATAGAGAAGATCCGTGGATAAAATTTATAAATGAAAAAAATACTTATAATATGAAAATTATTAAAAAACAAAATGATAAAAACCTGTAAATCTTTCAAGCAAATAATGAATTTTTTTTCTTTGTTGGTTCGTATTTCTATTTGATAAATAAGGATGAAATAATTCTATAAGTACTCCAAGTGTAAATTGGAATGCAGCCTATATTTCAATACTATTTACAACATTATAAAATTTCACAATTAACGAATCATCATTATCAATATTATTCTACACAAATCACTTTTAAATATCTCTACTCTAACAATACATTTAGATTTTGCTAATGTTTAAACAATATTATAAAAGAAAATTGTACACAAAATGTATGTCATATATATATTAGATTAAATATTTGAGTTTTACTTAAATTTATTTGGAGAATAAACAATATTGCCGAAGAAAATGTATTTTTTATTTCTATATGTAATACAAGAGAAGAAGATAATTTGATATTTCTAAACATTGATGATTACAGATTTTATGTAAAACTAGCGATTATCGATTAGCGAGTATTGCACTCGATTTTTCTAAGAATAAATATTTTTTTCGTTATATTCTCTCTTTTTCATGTGCCTTTCTAAGGCATGAACACATTTTTATTAGAAACTTTAGTATATTTTAGATATATTTATCTTATCTTATACGACTAATTGTTGTTACAGCAGTTATATTACTGTTACACAACATAATAATTTTTAAAGTTAGACTTTTAAGTACATTATTCATCAACAAGTAGTTATTTTATAAATTTAAATTTGCTTTTCGCAAACTCTTATTATCTTTATGAGAACTTAATTGATATTCTTTTTTATCGATTGCATTATGATTAAACAGTTTTTAAAAACAGGAAGGAAAATTATTTACTGAATTAAGATAGTTACTTAACTAGAGATACTTAATCGTATATCAATTCTCGTATGCTGTACTTGAGCAATGTAGTTTGCTAGATCAATAAAGTTTATACATTAATGCACTTCTAGCAAACGTAACGTGTATTTGTGTAGAATACTATTACTTTATTGAGCTGAATAATACGAAGAGTTTGAAAACGAATCGGAGATTCTGAGATAAGATTATCACAATCTCTGAATACACGTTCGATATTTATAGCTATGAAAGAGTAGGATGATCCGAAATCGTCGCATCCTCCGTATCCTCTTCAAATTCGTTATCGCTATTTAAGGATAAATGCTCTCTTAAAACTAGAGAACGCATCTGTTCTAAAACCTGATGCAAGGAATCCGATCTCTGATCTATTCTATCATTTAGAGGAGTAGCATCACCGCTTGCTGTCCCACCTGCAGGTGTCTGTGGTGTGTTACTAGGTGGTATGGGGGTATTTGTGCCATCTCCTGTACCTGTAAATATGATACTTTTCATATTTGTTTAAAGACAGTGAATTTTCATCATTTAGATAATTTTATAAATAATTTTATTATTTTGCTTATTACTTACCCATACTATCACTTGCAGGACTAGCTGGCCGTTCAGCACCTCTTATTTCTCTCACAATCTCTTCGTCCTGCACATTGAGTCGTAATCCAGCAACGCCTTTTCTTGGAACATTATACAGATCTCTTTTGATTCTCCTTCGTCTGGAGGGATCATTTCGACGCAACTGAAGCATCGAACCAAAATCAGCAATGTAAAGAAATCCTGCGATCAACAATTCACAGGTTCTTTTGCCCTGTTTATACGCCGTTTCTAATTCAATACTTGTACGCTGATCGTATTGCCACCAACCTGTAAAAATTTATTTTAGTCATTTTTTCCATGTTACAAAAAAGATAAGAGATCATGCGTCATTCATTTGCAAATGACTTTGCAAATGATTTTGCAAAAGACGTATTATTAAAAAAATAATTAGAAAAATATACGAGGAAGTTTTAATAGAATAGATAGTTTTATTGAAAAAAAAAAGATATAGTCGTTTTTAATCTTAATCATATAACAGAGAACTCTTCAATTTTAATTATTAAGATTTTAAACTCGTTTTATGCCATTCAAGTTCATAACATACTTTATAAATTAGCATATATACATTTTTCTTGCGCACGCATTCTTTGTATGTAATGTTGTTTTTTAGATATATATTATTATGAGATAATGCAATATACAATGTTTATACGATGTATAAAATCAAAATATGAATGTAGCTCAGTAATGTCGTTAAATATAGTTTTGAAATCTTCATTTTAACGAATAATCTATTTTATATCTCGCAAGGGTTATCGTACACCGGAGACACCTTTACACGGAGCGTCTTTTCGATCACGTTTGATATTACGTTTGCAACGTGGGTTGTATTTTCTATATTGACAATTGTTTACAAAGTCAATAACGTAAAGCATGCCACAGATCAAAAGTTCACATTGTGCTTCCCCTAGTTTGTAAATAGTCTCCAGATCATTGCTTGTCCTCGGATCATATTTCCACCAACCTAAGAAGGGGTAGGATATGAAATTTTGTGCGCCCATGTATAAATGCTTTAAAGGAATTTGCAAAAAATTTATAAAAACATAACATTGAATGAAAGATTTACAAAAACTTTCCATTACAATTACAGATATTGAGTGTCGATCGTAACATAATTGTCAATCAAACTGGCATTCTTACCATTTCGACCTTCGTAAAACCATTGATACTCTTCCTCTGGATGTTCCGATTCCTTCTGAGGTTCTTCTATTTCCACCAGTTGAGGTCTCTCAAGGAAATCTGGTGGAATCTCTTGACGACACATCGGACATCGTTTGCTTTGATTAGCGACACCCTTTACACATAAATAGCAATATATGTGACTGCAGGGTAACCGCGCCGGATGAATGCATGGTTGCAAGCATACCGCGCATTCTGGTACAATAGTGGGACCTAGTAGAGCAACACAGACTTATAGATTTATATATATAAAAAATTTATTGAAAAATTATTTAAAAAAATAAATTTTCTCATTAAATTACATCTTGAAAAAAAGATCTAATGATCTGTTACATTATAAGAACTCAGACAAAGAAAAGTTTAAGTAACATAGAGTTAAATATAAAAAATTAAATTTTAATATATAGAAAACTATTTCAATGTACTAAATCTTTTCATTAATTGAAAGTGATTTTCTATTCCTAATTTCTTTATATTTAATTCCTTATTCCTATTTATTGTGTTTTAGTCCTTGCAATCCAGAAAACTATTAGGGTTCCAACACAATAAAAGGAAACAAGGAATTATAAAAGAAATATAAACTTATAAACAGAAAATTACTTTTTATTAATAAAAGAAAATCTTGACATTCCTTGATTGAGATACTCCTTATCGAAGCATGTTTTCCCGTCGATATTTAATTCTTCCTAATTTCTAAAACTTCTTATTCTTTTATTCTTCATATCTGAGCTCTAATGATTCATGGGGGCATAGTGCAACCGATGACAAAAACGCACCTTCCTTTTCCTCGGAATCCTTGTCCTTGTCCTTCTCCTTAATACCGCCGGATTTCTCCGGCACGTCGACCTTTGCCTGTGCCATGGCAGGACAGACCACGCGACTGACGGGGTCAGAGTATCATCGACGCGACCGAGTCTCTCGTTTGTAAACAGCAGCACGCGTCTCGTCAATATTCGCGATCGTCGGCCATGTTGCTTGTTTATGACGTGTCCCGGGGTTCTCAACTTGTCGCAGTCACCCGAAGTTATCGCTACTTTATTATCGCGCTCCTGCATCGAGATTGCAATTCTCGCGGTCATAATTACGAAACTCGCAACAATTTCATCGTTTTCTTTTTTCTTTCGTCTTTTTCAGGTGCTTCGTGACAATGACCTCAAGATGACAAGTAACGTCAGCTTGCTACTTGCTGGACTGGCCGATGATCTCGATGCCCGCTGCTGATTGATTGATGATTCTCAAATAGCACGAATTTTGCAGCAATATAACTGCAAAATTCATGTTGTATCAGAAAGCTCGTATGTAAGATACTCGTATTTCAAGATACCCGATAAAAAATTTTTCATATATAGATATAATAAAATAATTATACGTAAACTTACAAATATGTGTCTACCACGATACATACACAGAATTGACTAGGGTAAAAAAATAATAACATTTTCGATTACAGTGAATTTTGATGTAAGAGGTATTAATGATGTTATATCTAGTTTGGATTACTGTTATGATTAAACTGATTATAATCATATTTAAACGGTTAAAAACTTAACATTTCAGAAAGATATATCGCGAAAGATTAATTATATAAAGATTATGTTATAATAAATCTATTAATAATTTAACTTTATTACTTATTTAATTTTACACCTTTTTTTTTATATATTTTTAATCAAATTTGAATTCATGATGCACATCCAATTTAATCGATCTTCGAAATATTATAGCCAAAATATTATAAAAATCCATAATTCTGCGGCCACTTTGATCGAATTCTAATTAACTTAATCAATGATTAATTTATTGAATAATGCTACTTGTGTTAATATTAATAAAATGTTAATTTTCTGTTTAACAAAATAAAGGAGTAAATCGGACAATAAATTATAATCCGAAATTTAAGCTTTGATTTGACTTAATCGCCAATTGAGTTAATCATAATTCGATCAAAATTGCCTTCAGTTTGTTTGTGATGTACTAATTTCTAATAATAAAATTTGGAAGGAGAAGGATAAAGAAAGAGTGAGTTTGTTTATATTTTTGAGATTCTTCAAGAATGGAAAAATTATTTTATGAGTTCGCTTTACAATAATAGAAATAAGAAATTATTCTAACGGACTTATAAGGTATTCTTTTTACAAGCACCCTCATGAGATTGTATGGAACGATATATTTGAGCACGACAGCTTCTATCAGCTGCAAAGAGAATATATCGAGTTCGTCACGATCACTAGCTATTATCGTTAAGCTCATTATCACCTTTTAAATTCTTATCAGCAACTATAACGTCTTGTCACGAGTAAAATTCGCTGATCGCGAATATTGGTCCGAGCGAATCTGTTTTTGATGAAACTATTTAGCTCGGCGCGAGCTATTAACACGAGCCTTTCGAGAAGCGGATAACTCTGTGATAATGAAAGATGAGCTGAAAACGGAAAATATCAAATGTGTTAAGTGTATAAAATGCGTTCTTCCTTTTAACATTAATTAAATTATCTAATGAACATTGATTTTTTATAATAATTATTAGATTAAACGATTAACTTCATTATTTGAAAGTTCATGAGACGTCTAAAGTATATTTCAAATATACACAATCATCTTTCTGACGTATATTTTAGACTTTTGTGCTGTTTGGACAATTTGGCACGGTTGCTTTTTTTCTATTTTAATGTGCTTGATATAAAAATTTAAAATAATAACTTATAAATTTGTTGTGAATTATATTTATGAATTTGACACTCAACAAGTTCGAGACTTTCCGTTCTCGATTGAGAAATACGATTCGTTGCTTTTGTGAATGTACGTAATAGTCCCTTAAAGCAAAGTACGAATGATCCATAATCAATCCAATGATAATATCGATTCGACAGAAGATTTGTTTCTCGGTGGTAATTTCGGACCACCGAGATAACTCAATGGATTGCCGAAAGTTCGTTGGCCACCCCGTAAGAAGACAGAAGTATTGAAAAATATCGGCTTGCCTGGTGCTAGAACGAGTAAAATAGCTTTCGTAATTAACCCTGCCTAATAATTCAATAGATTTCTTTTGAATGATTTCTTATAACTATTAAAAAAAGAAATACAAAAATATTTTTATTTGATCTTAATTAAATTGCCAATATAATAAGTAAAACAAAATAAAAATAAGATTGTAATTGTATCTCAAAATTACTTTTCATAAGAGAAATAATTAAAATAACATAGAAATATGAATATTTTCAAATCGTAAATAAAATTCGATCGTAAGTGAAAATTAATAATCATTTGAAAATGTATTATGTGACAGAGCATGTATATTAGAATTTCTTAAACCAAAGAAGAAGGAAGTGATTTCTTCGTTCGTGTTACTGACCTAAGTAGTTTCCTTGCATCTTCGATTGTCTTCCAATGTCTCCATCCGCGGACGCCTAAACGAAGTGAAAGTTTGCTTTAAATTTTCGATCTTTCACTGTATCACAGGTCAAAACAATAGATTCATTCTGTTTTCTTCAATCTTTCGTTAGTGCATGTTATATTATGTAACAAACACGCTGACACTTGGAATAGGCTTGCCTTCGTAGAGCCTACAGAGGTTTCTGTAGCCCAAAGCGTGCATGCGATGGAGTGAATGTTCTTCACGTGCCAATAAACCCGCTTCGATATCAGGCAATTCGGGTTAACCGCCGTCTATGCACTCGTGCAGTGTTGTGATAAAAAGGCTTCACCGATGTCTTCGTAGAATGTTTTTAAATCAATGATTAGTTTAACCTGGGAATACTTGCGCCGGTTGTAATTTACATCAAGCATTTGTATGTTCGGATTTTGTTACTTCAAACAGATCATGTCTATTTATCTGTCGCAATAAAATACGATTACATCTCTTCGCGACATCCAACATTAAATTTAAAATTATCTTGAGGAGTATAATATCTCTGGAATTTATTCTCTAGATCTCTTACACAGAGATCTATGGGATTGAAGAAATTCCTTTGATCATATTCCTCGGATTCTCGATAAATTCCTTTCAGATAATAAAAATATGTCGTATATTTATACCATGTTTATATCTTACATGCACATGCTTATCTAATAGCGGGGGAAAGTAATTCATAAGCAAATACATTGCCTAGAGAAATGATTCGTAAATAACAACCTGTTGTTGTTGTTGTTGTGTGTAAAGTACAACCTGTTGAATTATTTGTTCATTCCCGGGTTAAGAGACTTCGTCGAATGAGAAAAGGCGGCGAATTTGCGAGAAAAAGCTTGGCTGTGTAGGAGAGGCGTGAGAGATGGTTACAGCGATGCAACAAACTCGAGTTAATGGAAAAAAATCGTATATTTCTTTTGTCATTTCTGTCTGTCTATAACATGCTATAAAATGTATCTCGAGATTCATAATGTCTAAAAATTGCTAATTTAGAATGATATAAATCTTTTGTCATTCCGAATAGGATGCATTTATAATGTTTGTATCGAGAGGAGGAGGTACATTCGAGCACGCAACGTATTTTTATCATTCGCCAGCTATGCCATTATAAATTGTCAATACAAGTATCATAAGAAATATCACAAAAAATTGAAAAATAAAAATGCTAACAAACCCATTAATTAGAATTTCGGGATAATAAACTTTTGTGTATTAACTTTTATTACTTAATAAAATATTTTTTGACATATATAAATAAATATAATTTATTATGTATGTAAAAAATATTTTCTATAGTCATGAAATGATATAAATTATGTTACGATTATAATAAATATAAAAAATATATATACAATAAAAATGTATTATACATTTTTATATATTTAACTTATAATAATATTATCCCAAAAAGTTTCTTGTTATTGGTTACAATGCATTCGGCCACAATGCATGACGATTTAAATCTTAAATAACAAATTGGATTATGATTCAGAGAAACAGGATTGCGAAAGAATAAGTTAAGATGCGATTCGCGAGCTAACATTCGTACATATCACTGTCCACGTGCGTGACAAATCGTACCTCTAAAATTCGCACGATGTTTTCGTTTCGTCGGTTTTTAAAATGGAGTCTAACGGTTTAACACTCTCCTCATCATTAGACCAATCCCTGTGCTGAAATTATGCCTGATATATTATAAAGTTTAATCGGATTTTAGATGATTCGATTTTTTTGCGCTTTGTGAATTATATCGCATGATTATTTTGATCGCCACCAAAAGCACACAAACGTCACACTTATTTTGTACGATTGCACGAAGCAGCGAAATCAAACTAAACAGATTCGCAGATGTACATTAAAGCAAACTATAGAATTATTATTATAAAAATTTAATAAAAATTAAGTACTAAGTAAAAATTTTGTAACTTGCAATATTTATTCAAAATTATTTTATCAAAAAATTAAGTTTGCTCTTTTGATGTACATCGCAATCATTTCTCAGTGACGATAACATAAATCTATGCTGTGGTGTCCTTTTTGTGGTTAATGATGTGATATCAGATACAATCAGATATAATAGCTAGATATATTGTAAAAATATGTGAATGTCTTTAATCGATAAAATAGCATTTCCTTTATTTAGATTCTTTTTTTCTTTTTAATAAGATTATGTGATTCTTTTTCATATCAGAGATATTATAGGTTTTATCTTATCTCGAAATATTCGTTGTAAATTTATTTTTGTCTCATTATCATTAAGTTACTTTATAGGCACTACAGTCTTAAAATAGTCTTTTATTCGAGCTAAGTACGTATGGCTTCCCCTATAGCTAATCAATACTGGAAAAATACTGACGACATGCTACATAAGAAATACAAATAGGTGCTTGACTATACGCTAACTTTTTCTACATTATTCGATACGTCTTTCTCTCTCCGAATACGGCTATAAATCAAACTTTGAATCGTATATATATATGATTTATGCGTAAATAATTTATAAAATAAAATACATAAATTATAGTTTGTGATAGGAAATTAATGTTTACATTGCAATGATAATAAACAAAACGCGATTTTACGAACTTATCATATATTAACTAATTATTATCTTTTATCATTAAAAGAACGCGTTTATTATTTTATTTTCTGATAATGAATTTTTATGAATTTCACGCGCAAAATGTAATTTTGAGCGTACAATTATGCGTGCTAGTTATGAATAGTTTAATTGGTTAAATGAATATTTAAAATTTTGAAGTGCCCCTAACAGTAGCTAATAAGCTACATTATATTTCGATCTCACACTCAATAACCTCGTTTACGCTCATATTGTGATTATAAACTGTATATATCGTCTTAAAATTTACATGTGTATATGATTGTCATTTGAGAACGCTTTATCGCGGTATTTACATTAGTCGAAACGCACGACTACTTTTAAACGTATTAATTATTGTCGTCAGTCAATTTAATTAATTGTTTTGAGTGCGATATGCGGACGCGACGTCGACGTAGCCTCTACCTCGAGACTGGAGACTCACTTCATCACCATTAATCAACCTCGCCGTGACCTTTTCGGGCCGAGCTGCTCCACGAAGTTTTCTGAACTTGATCGGCGCGTTAAGATCGAGACTCATCGGTCTCTTCGCCACGGTACTCTTCGCATTATTCGTATTATTCGTATTATTCATACTATTCGCCTTGAGTATTATACGCTCGGTTTTGATCTCATTCAAACCCGTCACGGAAAAGTTCGTCTCGAGGAGTGCTTGCGTTTCGTCTGGGTCCAATTCATCGGTCAAGGAAGTTCTCCTTGCCTTATTTCTTACCGGTATAACGAGAAGTTCATCATCTTGGTCGTCTCTCGTTTCATCTTCTTGTTTCTCCTTTTGAGGTTGATCTTTTTTCTCGTCTGTCTCTGGCTCATGAGTATTCTCTTCCTCTTCATCATCTTCTTCCTCCTCCTCTTCCTCCTCGCGTTCTTCTAATTCAGGTTCTTCTCTTAAATCTTCCATTGACTGTTGGAGAAAGATATAAAGCTTAATAATTTTCATCAATCATGATATGGAAAAATATTGTATCACATCGGGCATTGCGACGAAAGCGTGAATTTGTATGAACGCATGAAAAAGTCACATTTGAGAAAAATGATGTATGAAATTCATAAACACTATCGTTTTGATATAGTGCTCGTATGTTTTCCCATAACGTAATATTGGTAAATAGTAAGTTTGTGAATTTATTACGAATTGTAAAGTCAAGTGCAAGAAGGGTATGCTTTGAAGAAGAAGCAATCGAATCGGTTTATTTTTATTTTGTGCATTCGATGTATCCGCAGAAATGTGTCATAAAGTGAATGAAAATACAAGTACAACAACGAACTCAACAACGATTTTAACAAATGCATGCAAAGCCCTTTTGCAAGCCTGACCAAGCTATTACACATTCTTTTACGAAAAAAAGAAAAAATCTTTACGAATGGGTTCGGTTTCACAGGTTTAATGACGAGGCCTGTATTTACCCCTAGGAGCTCCTTTTTCTCTGGTTCTTCATCTGCTGTAATGCAAAACAAACACACAAATACAAAACAGAAACACAAATAGCGATTAAATCATAATATGTAAAATATTATGAACAATGCAAATTTTATCTTGTGTTATATAATTATGAAATTAGTTTAGAACTATCGCGAATTCTTGATGAATGTCGTAATATTTGATTTTCTTTTATATTTTAGAGAAAAATATGTCGTGTTGGAATATGAAATTAGTACATCTTTATTTTTATTTATTTTTTTTTTGAGTTGATTGAAAATGCGGAAATTTGTATAATGTTTATCAAGAATTGTAATACTAGAAAAGTGCTGGAAATGATACTTATTGTTTTTTAAAACTTAATAAAACTTCACAGCCACATATTGACATGACAATGGTTTATTTCAAATATTTTATAGGGAAAAAAAATCGAAGGAATTTAAACTTTTATTATTGGATTTATATAAAAAAAATTGAACAAAAATTGGAACAAAATATATCCTATTTTATAGCTATATCAATTTTTTCTATATTTTTTCTTTTAAATAAAAAAAATAAATTAGAGTACCTTTTGCGAAACCTATGTGAACTTTTTTATCGTTTATTACGTCCTTGGGTTCCGTATTCGGCAGTGATTTGTATTCTTTGGCATTAGACACTTTAACGTGAGTACCATTCGGCCTTTTGTCGTCGTCCATCATGTTTTTAAAGCCAATCGCTTTCACACCGGTCGCGGATACTAGAGATTCCGTATACTGTTGCGGTTGCCATCGTTGCGAACCGGAAGCGGTACTCGTAACCGTTCCCGAGGCCGCGGCGCGACGTCGTTGACGATCCTTGCGTGCACTTCGCCATACCTCGTAAATACACCCGACTACCGCGGCCACGAAGACACAGCATAGGGCTATAAAAATGTACGTTCCCGCACCCTGTTCCTCTTGCGTGGCGCCTGAATATTGTGATTTGTACAGGATTCTTTCTGGTGGGTCTTCTACCCACGCTTTATCGCGACCCTTTAAAGAGATATTTTGTGACGTATCATTTTTTTGTTGAATAAACATTTATTTATAATGCTGTTAAACCGTATTGATGCAAATATTAATGAAAATATAATGTTATAGACTCAAAGAAAATAAAAAATGTAATAATTACATATTTCAAAATGTATAATAAGGAAAAAGTTATCTAACAATTTAATATCTTTTAAAGATATTATAGACTATTTCAAAACATGTAAATCTGCTGCGTTATTTGATTTGATAGATTTGAGAAGAGATAATAGGTCGAGATAATAGCGAAATAATGTAACATAAAACGGATCTATGTTTAATTTCCGAGTTTCTCACCACGCTGTCGTTCTTGGGTGGTTCAAGACCACCCGGTTGAACATGGAAGACCGCACATTGAGCGCTTCTAACGCCGGCGGGTATCGTTGCCCGCACGGTCTCGCTGCCCTGTTTTGTAAAGAGCATATATTCCTCCAATGGCTTCATATCGGCACCTCCGTTAATCGATATGACGACATCTAAAAGAAAAGTATAATTTGTACTTTGATCATGGCTGATTTGAATTACTAATTATTTGTTTGTTTTGTCTTAAAAAAAAAAGAAAATATATTCAGAATATCGCCTTTCAATTAGAGAAATCGCAGAGAAAACTCACTACTAAGGCATCCAGTGTAGCCTTTATAAGCGATAAATCGCGAATCAGTGGTATTCAATCCACCAAGTTGTATTTCTGTGGCACCTGGAGCTTCGTCCTCGTCTGGAATCGGTATCCCCGGAATGGGCAGTAGTTGAACAGGTTCGCGGTCAATCTGGAAATATATACAAATTACAGTGAAGTTACAGTTAGTTTATAATTTCTCGTATATAATCTCACATATAAATTCTTTAAAAAAAATCAAAACTAACTAAGAGAGTAGCTGTGTTGTTATCGCGAACGTAGTAGACGCTATGACGTGCACCATTTAGGAAATTCCGATCGCTCAGGCGCACTCCAGCCGCCGAACCATCCCTGTCTTCTTCGAAGATGAGCTGTCCCTCGGACGTTAAGGCCACCAATAAGTAGTAGCTCCTTCTGGAAAAAAGTTTTTCGAAAGACATCCAGAACTCCATGCATCGGCGACTGGTGTCGAAATGCTCGAATGTTACGTGGGTATTAAAAAAAAAAAATTAAGATCAATGCTTTACTTGTTGTCAGTCTGTACCAGCAGCAACGCGGTGGTTCGCTGTCGTAATTCGTTCGTTGAGAATGCCAATTGTACTTTCACCTGATTCACTTCGCCCTCGAGTTCGAATTCACGCTGGAGTACGCTTTCTCCGCTAAAGTCGGCACCTTTTTCTGTGGAAAGAATTTTCAGAAATATTACAACTTTTTCGTATTGATTTGATGGTTTCTCTGTAAAATAAGAATTTTATTTCACAAAACGTTATTTTAATGGCCTTTTGCTTTTTCTATTTTTAAAAAAACATATTTAAATATTTAGATTGTATCTGCGAATCTTTATATGTTGCAATCTTTAGATTTTATTCTTTAGAGATATATCTTCAAAATCTCGACTTCTTGCAGTTGCATCTTTGTGTCTAATTTCAACTTGAAGAATATATTACTTAAAGTGATAAGCGAGAGCGAACGTGACATAGTAGACAACGGATTGGTCTAATACGCTAAAGATCCCGGGTTCGAGTAGGATCAAAAATATTTTCATACGCTCGTGCCTCCTCGATAGTCTGGCAAACCACGAGAGTATTCTTATCCCCAGAACCTCCTCAAAAATTTGCCGTTCGGAACCGGCGTTAAAAAGTAGGTCCCATATGCCTGTATCACTTACATACGCAATGTTGGTACCGTTTGAAATGTAGAGGTGTACGAAATTATTCAAGTGATCATTTGCACAAAGTATCGGAGAGTGAGTATCGTAAGTTTTTAAATTAATTAAAATATTTTGCAGCAGCATACTTTTTAGTGTGCACTACAGGCATATGAGAATAAGATAGAATAGACTTATATGAAAGTAAAAGAAGAAAGTGATAAGTAGTAATTACCATCAGCACAATGCTCGCCAAAATAGGATGTCAATTCGCAATTGCAAGAAGATTCCTGCCTACCGAAATCTTCTGTGCAAATTCCTAAGTTCTTGCAAGGCATTGCATCGCATTTCATTTGACAATTCGGCAAAACACCTTTACTTCCTTCATGATTTGCTTCGCTGGCTAAACTCGGTAGATCGACAAGGTATTTGCCGATCATGAGTCCTCGCAGGCAGCCAACGTAACCTTGAATTAAAGCGCCTTCTTTTCCAATTCTGAGAAGATTGTCAGGATCAAATCCCCCTAAATTTACCTAAATAAGTATGTCCACAAATTTATATTTTGTTTTCATATTCACTTATTATGCATTAGAAATAGCCAAAGAAGTCATTTTTCAAATGATAATTATGTATTTTATAATATTCTAAAGATTAAAAGATATCATAATATTTAAGTTGTTTCTTTTAGATCTTTAAATACTCTTTTGTTATTTGATAGCTTAATATGAAACAAAAGATTAATATTTATTCAAAGCATTACCTGAAAATAATCGGCGGGAGGTGCAGGCGGCCGTTGCGGTGCTAGAACTTCTTTCTCCGGATTCGTCCAAGGCTTATTTGAATATGTATCTAGAAGTACTGGTGTCGCGTTCAATGTGACATTATATTCATTCACGTACAACGTAGTCCAATTCTCGCCTCGAATTATAGCGATTTGTACAGAAATTCCAGTGTTAACATCTGATGAAAACGCGAATTATTCCTTCTTATAACTTTTGATACGCGCGTCGCATATATTCATTTATTGTATAAGTTGCACATTACACTAAGAGCATACCATGAGATGAATATTTTAACTTACTTGGATTTTCCACGGTAATATTTTTTATCTCATTGCCAGCGTTGAAAAAGATACACAATATTGGTACCGTTTGAGATGTAGAGGTGTACGAAATTATTCAAGTGATCATTCGCATAAAGTATCAAAGAGTGAGTATCGTAAGTTCTTAAATTAATTAAAAATATTTTTGCAGCAGCATACTTTTCAGCTGCGATCTCTCTTCGTTGTCGTCCATCCGAAATAGTTTTTCTTCAAGAACCGCTCCGGGTGAAGTAAACGTCAGTGCTTTATTATTGATATCTAGATTTAGAAATATTATTTTTAGCATCGTCCTCTAAATTAAACAATTTATCTTTAATTAATTTCAAATCAATATTTAAAAAACTAGGAACATTTTTTTTAAAAAATGTCTCTCCATTTCACAAGTAGCGAATATATATAATGTGTGTGTGTGTGTGTGTGTGTGTGTGTGTGTGTGTGTGTGTGTGTGTGTGTGTGTGTGTGTGTGTGTGTGTGTGTGTGTCAAAAATCTCAGAAAGTTTGCCATTCGGAACCGGCGTTAAAATGTAGGTTCCATATACCTGTGCAATCGCCTTCGTGCGCATCACAGGCATATAAAAAGAGAGATATTGATACAGAGCTTATTCTAAACTAAGAATAAGAAGAAGATTTTTAAGTAATCGAGTAAAATTATTTACTTGTCTCGCAATAAGTGCCTAAGTGCGCCCATCGATTTTCGCATACGCATTCGAAATTGCTCCACAACTCGACGCATCTGGCGCCGTTCTGACACTTGTTCGGTTGACACGAAGGCTTACAATCTTTAATGATTTCCGACAAGTGCACCGACATATAACTGTGGATATCTAATATCTCTCCGTTAACAACGAGACCTCGAAAGCAACCGATAAGACCTTGTCGAACGGAAGAAGTCTTTAAGTGCTCTCTAAAAGACAAAGAGTGATTCGAACGAAAAATTAATCATTCAAATACAAATTATTATTTATCATAATAATAAATCATCATATATAAATTGTAACAATTAATTATCAATTTGTAAAAAGTTACTCACGCAGTAGCACCGCCGATGAACATGGATCCCTCGAAAGGACCGAACTCTTCTTCGGGAAACAAATCCACCATTCGAAAATCGGTGTTGATCATGAATCTCACATGATAATCATTATAGTCAATCCAAATTTTCTGCCACTCGCCATTGTTTAATTTTCGTCGACTTTCTACTTGTAATTCGCGATTGGTACCAGTATTCAAAGTGAAATTGAAGGTCAATCGATATTCCGATGTTAACGCGACCATGAACGAAGGATAGTTACTGCGGATTGGCGGTTGATAGAGAAGAATAGCTTTCTCGCCTGTCGTTCGGAAACTGAAGGCTATATCACCTTTCCTCCAACCAGGCACTTCGATATACGATTGTGACGTCGTGAATGTTACGACGTATTTTTGCGTATCTAGAATTTCATTGTTAATTAATCTTATAAATTTTTTGTTTTCAATTTTTAACTTTTTATATGATAATATTTACTATAAAGTACTAGTTGCTTAAAAAATATTTTATTTTCTTTTCATTGCTTAATCCTTAGAAGTGAAATTATCTTAATTAAGATATATCATTTCTATTTGTAAATGATTATGTAAGTATTTACATACTCATTTACATAGAGCGAGGCACAGTAGACAGCGCACTGGTCTACTATGCCAGAGGTCTCGGGTTCGATTCTGGACAGAGCCAAATAAAATAAAATATTTACGCTCGTCTCCTCTCGGAAGGCAATGGCAACCCTTCCCCCCCCTCCCCCAACCAGAAAATAACTTTGCCATGAGCGTCCCAAAAATTTACCGTTCGGAACCGGCGTTAAATTGATCCCATATACCTGTGTATAATCATCGTGCGTACAAGTATATGAGAGAGAGAGATCACCACCATGCTCGGATACGAGCAATAGGATTGAGGAGGAGAATGGAAGGTACTTACTTGTTTCAACGCATTCTAATGGTCCTAAGGTGATGCGTCCCCGAGCATCTTCCTCGAGATCTCTCTGTTGCAAGAACACCATTCCGATGATGCCCAAGGAATCAGGTGTTTCGTAATACCCCTCATCTGATAGCCATTTTCCGGCATTTCCGGCGGACACGTCGCAGTTACAGCTCAAATTGGAGTTCACGCATGTTCTGTTCACTAAAGTAAAATTAATAAATAACATTCTTCGCAAGACAACGATTAAAGTCTTCGCGAGATTTTGTTTAAATCATTACGAGTCACACTAGAAATATATTTAAGAAGGGACTTACTTCCACAAGGGCAAGATCCGCGATTGACGTTTCCAATATAATCGACGGTGGTGCCTTTAGAGCCTAAGAACCAAGTAGCACTATGCAATTCCAAGGGTGCCTTGTAGCAATCATATTTTACATATTGGCTGCAATAAAGTGAATGCGAGATCAGCTCTTGAAGCATCTCGGCGGTGAACTGTCTATACTTGATGCTGAAGGAGAAATCATTCTCAGTGCTGGATCTGACGTCCACTTGAGAGGGTAAATTGTGTTCGACAATTGTCTTAGTCGAATCTTCAATCGATTGAAATTCGCATTTTACTAACGCAGGCGGAAATCGACCATTCCCATCGATGTCAATTTTGTAAACATCGTCTTGCGTGTATCCCAAGAGAGCCAATTCTTCACAGGTCTTTCTGTATTGTGCTAGAAAGATGATATTAAAAATTAGACTTAAATTGTAGAGATATATAATCATATTATTATAATCATATTATATAAAATCATTATTTTTTTTATTTTTATTTGTTGTAATTTATGTATATAATTTTTATATATTTATATATATATATTTATGTTGTATAATTTAGAATTAAAATAACATAATTATTAAAATAACAAGAAAATTATTTGTACAAAGTTAATTACTTTTATACAAATATAGAAAAAGAAGCTTTTATTATTATATACTATTTTAAATATCTTTAACATTTAAACATATTTAACATTTTAAATTACTTTACAATATATATCATGACAATCCATAACTGTGTAATTAACAAAATTGGCTAAACATTAAAAAGATCAGTCTACTAATCAGTTTAATAAATTCTGATTTTAAAGAAAGATTTTATAGAAGTTACAATCTTTATTTTTAGTTTCTTTATTTTTAGTCTACTAATATTTGAAAGCGAACGTGGCATAGCGCACTAGTCTACTATGCCAGAGGTCCCGGGTCCGATTTCCGGCAGAGCCAAATAAAATAAAATATTTATGCTCATCTCCTCTTGGAAAACAAACTGGCAAACTACGAGTTTTCCCATAAGCGTCTCTCAACCAAAAATTTGCCGTTCGGAACCGGTGTTAAATTGTAGGTCTCATATACCCGTGTATAATCATCGTGCGCACCACAGATATGAGAGAGAGAGAGAGATCATCATGCTCGAATAGTGATATTATTGAATCAATTATTCATCACGATTTCTCTTACCAAAGTGACAGTTTTTCCCGATATATCCGGTGTCTGTGCAATCGCATGTGATCCTGTCTTCCTTAACCGAACATTTACCACCATGTTCGCATGTATTTGGTCTCTTGCACGGATCCACAAACTGACAATTGTCTAAAGCAACTTCTCCGACTACTCTCTCAGTATTAATCACATATCTAGGTTCGATTCTTTGGCCATTTACTTTTATCTCACGCATACATCCTACTAAACCTAAATTTTCGAGATAAGAAATTTTTTTTTATCATGTTCACGTTGACTTTTTCATATTTTAAATTAAATCATCAATTTTACTTACCGGCATTACTTTTGCCGCTTCCTATAATAACTTTATCACCCAGTTCGAATGTCATAGCAAAGAGCTTGCTCTGCTTATTCCTATAATCGAGGAGAATATTGAGTTCGCCCTTTGTGTAATTCAGCTCGACTGCGTGCCAGGAAGTGTTATATGGAGGAAATTTTACTGAAGTTGATACCGTAATATTTTCCGTTATAACTGGTACCAATTGAAAACGAATTTCGTCATTCACTTGACGTAACTATAACCATATACGAAAAAAAGAAAATTACCAGAAATCGAAAATGTGAAAGAAATAAGAAAATGTAGAGCGATATTATAACTATACCTCCCAATAACCAACACCGCGACTGCTTTTTACATCTCCCGAAGCGATGATCGCGATTGGCTTTGAGCTTTTAAAGTCAAAGTTTAATTTCAGCGAATCGGTTCGTTCAATCGGCCACCAGATGTGACTTCCTGCAAAAGGATATGTGATCGGAATGACTTCGACGTCGGCTTCGTAGTATTCTGGCTCTAGCACACCGATGTAGTGCACCATCGGATTGGAACGCTTCAATTCGTATATAATCGATTTGTCGTTGAAAAACACATATTTCAAGGAACCTGGGAAGATATAAAATTATATCATCAACAAAAATTATCAATTAAATTATTTTTGATTAATAATTAATATCAGGTGTTAATAATTTCATCGAACCTGCAAAATTATTGTGTGACCGAAGACCCTTCTTCTTGTGGAGCTCTGGACCACCACCGATGTATATTTCCGGATCGATAATCATATTCCAATTTTCTCCCGGCACTTCTAGTACTTTTACATCGTCGTCCAAGCTGACGAAAACGGAAGATCCATTATGGAATATGGTCAAATTATTCCAATGGTCAGATGTGACGTAATCGCCCAATGTAGTGGAGATTTTCGAATGGTGCCCGAAATCAAGTTCAACGTGAACTGATTCGTTTATAATGGAAGCCGCAATGTAATGCGGGGTGCCGTCGATTTCACCGGAAGCGTAAAACAGGGCGGAGTCATCCCATTTTGTCTGAAATTTATTATAAATCTTTGTTAAAAAAAGAAATAACTAAAGAAATAAATAAGAAACAAATAAAATAGAACTTTTAGCTGATATTATAACACGATAATCTTTAATAAAATATTATATTCCTGTCATTCCATAGCGGGGAAAGTATTCAATGACAATAATTGCATATTCAACATGTGACAAATTTCATTGTGTTCTCACAATGACCTATTGCGATTCAATTTGAGAAGCGGAACTCGACACTCTCTCGAAGAGTTTCCATGGTGAACGTTTTGTCATAGAGATGGCCGGATAGATAAAAGCAGCTGCTCGTGAAAATACAAAATGCGCCCCTCTCGATTCCAACAAAGAGGTATGGCGTTTCACTATAATGAATCAATAAGCCCGCGACAAAGGAAAGAAGCATGGTTTCGTTACAATAAGCGCCCGTGGTCAAATACCTTAAAAGCGAGGCTGATCCTGTTGACAGACGAATGAACACGATCCTTCCAATCGTACACGCGGAAAGACACATATGAGGAGCCTCTCAGCGTCAGTATCGTCGCGGCTGAAAAATGATGTTACATTTCAAACTCCATTAGTCTCGCATTCGGAATATCTAGACCCTTTTAAACGTGCATAAAAGCCCTATTTCTTTTCGGGCGGAGAAATATAACTTATACAGAATATCCATCATTTCTACTATTTGAACTATTGAACATTCTTCTGATAATAGCTAAGAGTTTCGGATTAAATCTTAGGAGACATAATCAATTATTTGATTAATTAATATATAATATGTATTCTAGTGAAAAATATTTTTTATTAAATTCTACTTTACGTACTGTATACATCGCAACGTTCACCCTCGTAATTCGTTCCGAAACAATCACATGTCAGACTATTATAATGGTTTACGCACTGATCGGGGACGAAGCATAAGTTTTCTCGTGTTCTGCACCTAAATTAAAATTTAGATAATCATCGAATATACTTTATATTTTGTATACATTTTTTCTTTTCTTTCTTAAGAAAAAAATACTCACTTATCGATACATCCTTCCTTCACATTCTCGTGCTTGGTCGCAATTAGTGGTCGAATGGGTAGCAAGTCGCTGGCAGATTTTCCAGAACTCAAAACCATATCTCTGATGCAGCCAACGAAGGATTCTATTATATATTTTACTCCATGTAATCGTTCTTCGGAACTCAGTCCTGTTAAAACGGCAATAAAATGATAAAAACATGAAGAAATTTTTATACGAGGATCCGAAAAAGATTTTGCTCACCTCCGATGAGAACGACTGAAGCTAATTCTTCGGATACTCCATAATTAACGATACGTTCTAAAACTTTTAGAGTAGTCTCGGCTTGCTTATCATCGACTCTAGCGATTAACTTCGCTCCGTGCACGTCGATTCTTACAAGAACGCTATGCCATTCGTCCCTATTGAGTCCTTGGCCTACTGTCAAACTGGTTGACTGTTTGCCGAACACATGAACAACTTTCAACTGACCCTTTTCTACTATCACATAAAGGGCATAGGGATCGAGGCTCTCCGGACGATCTTTGACGCTGTGATAAACTAGTAAGCCATGTGGAAGTTTGGTGCGGAACTTGAAGGATATCTCACGACACAATCTGTTAGGGTACATTAAATAATGTATCCATTTTTTTTATGTTATTAAAATAATATAAAATTATTATTACATATGAGATATTAAAATAATATAAATTAGTATAATAAACATATTAAATACGTAATATATTTTGTTTTGCAAATTAGAAAATACAATGTTAAACGTTAATAGATAATTTAAATTGTCATGTTCACCTTAATTGGAAGGTTTTGATGCCAGGGCCGTCGAGTTGAATGAAGGTATTGCTTTGTGCGAACATAAACGTCTTTTCGTGGCCAGATTCCATGAAAGTTAATTCCTTTGATAAAAATACACATGATAGAAATAATTTTCTTGGTTTGCGTAAAATGTGATGCATTTTTATATAAATAACGATGGTTCTACCTTTCCTCGTAGATGCTTCGGTACCGGCGGTTTCGTCGGTTTCGGAGGTGTAAAGGTCGGCCGTGGTGTGCTAGTTGTTGTAGGAGGTGAAGTGCTCATTGTCGTGGTGCTTGTTGTGACAAATACACTGCCCTTCGTTACGAGATAGGGTGGCAGCGTATCTAAAAATAATCAATAAATCCGTGATAATTCTGTTATCATTAAATTTACACAAAGCTCTCTATATTAAAAGTTTTCATGCGTTTTCAATCTATTTTAATTAACAAATAGATATGTTTAATTTACAAATAAAAATAATAGATATGTTTAATTCATAAAAAGTTTTATATATTCAAAATGTTCCCACTTATTTTTTCAACTTTGATTTGTTAATTGATTAGTTATATTTATTATTTTATTATGCTACTTTATCTTTTTAATTTAAATATATTTAATTAATTGATTGATTTATTCTTTTGCATTTTATACTTTTTCTCACACAGTTAATTAATATATGATATTTAATACTTGATAATTAATATATGATATTTAATACTTGATAATAAGTTTCACTTCAATACATTTTTGTAAAAGTTTCTTACGATCAGCACCACCGACACAATAATACAGGCACTCCGCTTCTGAGTTAAACCGATTCTCATTTCCTAAACAACCGCCATAAGGAAAAGTTCGGCATTTTCCTTCGGCTTTGTTGAAAGTCCACTTGTGAACGTAGTGCTTGCAAGGTCCTGGTTCTGTCTTGATAAGGCATTTGTCGGGTAGAATTCTTTTGGTCGTAGTAAATTCTTCCGTTTCTTCGACCATATCCGTTTTTGGCGAATCTGTTTGATTCGCCGGCATCTTTGCAACTATGTTGAGCAAAACAAAGATCCCGAGGATCTTCTTGTAGCGGTGGATCATCGTTCCTCATCCGCTGAAAGAGCAATCCAATTTTTAAAAATTAAAATAAAAACAATAAAAATTTCGCAATACAATATATCAACGCGATAGTACGCGTGCACTTCTTGTTTAATTATCAAATTGCATTTTTTAATGGCACACACTCACATCCATCCATCCACCCACACACATCCCCCCCTACACACACACACACACACACACACATACATCAAGTATGCGCTCTATTTATTATCGTTTTACAAACATTTAACAAATAATTGAATATATGATATTTAATTATTATATTAATTAGTAATACGTAAATATTGATTAACTAACTAACTAACTAATTAATTAACTAACTAGATTGTACTCTTTAATAATTTTTCTATCGTGTTTTAAATGGTTGCTGAGGAAGGCTCTATGAAGCCGAAACGTTTAACTCTAAATTTAGCTTATTTTTCTTGTTGACTTTTGTTATCTCAGATAAACAATAAAAAATTTTTTGATTGTAATAAATTTGATTGTAATAAATATTGTGTTTATAAAAACATTTAATCTCTCGCTCGTTTGTTGGCCTTTTTCTCTTGTTATTGATTAACTATGTTTTGTTAAGAGAGAGAGAACCTAGTTTATTTTATATTATATTTTATATTTTATATTTTTAGTTATAATGTATAAATATTTAGTATATTTAGTATATTTAGTATATTTAATTATAATGTATAAATATAAAAATATTTTCTGTAACATGTATAAAATTTTATCATATTTTTATTTTATCTTCTTCTTTTTCCATATAAGCTTAGAGCCTGTTCTACACTTCACTCTCATATGCGCACGTAGGTAATGCACAGGCATATGGGACCTATATTTTAACGCCGGTTTCAAATGGCAAATTTTTTTTAGGAAGTTCTGTGAGCAAGAATACTCTCGAGGTTTGCCAGACTATTGCGAGGAGACACGACCGTATGAAAATGTTTTAGTTTTGCCGGAAATCGAACCTAGGATTACTAACGCACTAGATCAATGCGCTATCTTACTATGCCACGCTCGCTCTCATATTTTTATTATAAAATAAAATAATTAATCTCTTTATTTAAATATATTTATCGTCAATGTAATTTTTCATTTTTAATTTCGCCTCTTTAAATAATTGATTTAAAATTAAATTTTCTATTTCATCACTGCTACTATTTTTCAATAACTTTTGTGTTATATAAATTTTTCCCGCCATATTATTCGATATCCCAAATCGCATTGTTAAACATTTCAATGCAATAAAGTTTGCTCTCATTCAGTTCATTTCGTTTGTCTGAATATAAATTTAGCGTTATACCAGTGCAGTTTTTATTCATTGAACACAACATGATACGGGCATGGTAATATTGCAAATCGCATCGATCGAATGTATGGCGCCAAAAAGTTTGTATTCAATGCGCACTAATGCATGCTATCGAATTCGCTATTAGAATAGTTGAGGTAACTGTTTCAAATTATAATATATGTACATTCCGAAGTAGCGCTTCGTATTACTGTAAACAATCAGTTGAGCTCTGGTTTTTGGAAAGTCAAGATACTTGCAAACGATAAAGTGTTTAATTCATTTTCAAAATCGAAAGCTGAAGAAAATCAATGAGTGTCAAGATCATAAAAAAAAAAGAAACACTTCATGGCCACCTGAGGACACGAATGAAGAGCAGGATTCACAGCTGAGTACCTTCTCAAGAAAACTAAGCAGTGCGAGTAGTGACGATATAATGTATAATCTACAGCATTATTACAGAAATGTGAAGTTTGTGAGTGTTTTTGGTGTTCCCGCTGACATTCTTATTTGTAAAATCTGCATAAAAGATATATAATTAGATAATTTAATTATAAATAATTTTAAAAAACTGAGATCTAGGGTTTCAGTTCCAAACTTCTTGCTTTTGCTCTCGCAAAGAAATAAATTCAAGGCCGTTGATTAATAGATATGAGATAAATAAGAAGATTGTTTTTGTATTTAAATAAGTTATTTGAATGATGAACCTGCTGGAAATAAGAATTAGATTATAAATAAAAATTGCAAGCTCGATATTTCGGAACGACTTGAGAGGCAACAGCGTCACAGCCTAAGCAGCTCAAAGGAGCTCAAACAACTCGCAGAATGGAAAATTGGATCTAGTTGTTTCGGGATTTATTTTGTAGACAATTCGATTTTCTATCATGTTTTTGAACATTTTCAAAAAAGTTAAATTAGACCATCTTTTTTATAAAAAAAAATGCAAATTTTTTCGTAAAAATCTTATTTTTTGTTTTAGTCATAGAAATTTTTCAATTTTCGACTTTTTTTTAATAATTTCGATTTAATTAACAGCTAATTATATAAAGTTAAAGAAAAAAATTTGATTTGTTAATTACAGACAAAAAGCCCAATTACAGACAAATAACCCGATTTTATACATCAGATATTTAATATTTTTCAATAAAAAAATTATTTTGAATAATTGAAATATACAATAAAATATCTCCAAAGTTTGAGAAAGATTAATTTTGTTTTAACTGAAAAAAAGATTACTGAAAATCATGTCTTTTTTAGCTTTCTAAACCAAGTTCCCTCCTTAACAAATCGCAAATTATTTTTAATTGTTATAACTCAATGAATCGGTCTAATTAAATTTGCAACTCAGGAACATACAGTTCACTCGTATTTTATACACAAAATTCGAATGTAAAGTCCCAAGATAAAATTGATTAATCGAAATCAATTTCGAATGATTGGAGTTTCGAATTTCTCGGGAAATATCTTCTTTTTTTCTACGGAAGAAAACGTACATGTTTATGTTGCATCTTTCTCTCGCTTTAAGCGCGGTACAATCGGGAGCGACACAGACCGATTAGGATCAAGTCTGACGCGTTTTCATGCTCGAGAGCTATTCGTTCAGTTTGCGCGCTTAAGAACACTTTTACGATTCAAACCACGTGGACACCCACGCTCCCTTCCATAAAGCGCTTAAAACCGCTCGTCCTTCCGGTGCATCTTAGTTAAGACTACCTCAACACGAGTCCGGCAGATGCACTTTTGCGATTGCCGCTTTCGAATTTACGACTTCCCCTCGTGTCGCGACGCAGGTATCAGATCGGTAAGAGGAGCGGAGAGGCAGCACGGTATGAATGATGCAACGGGTGGAAATTTCGATGCGACATGGTTAAGCCGCCGCTACCGTTTCGATACGATCTTTCATTTATCGTCTCTCTCGAGAAGTATCGTATTCGTTTACATCTAACTGACGGAGTCCAGGAGTCAAAGTGCATAACATGGGTGCGCCTGGAGCCGGACTCTCGACGTATGCAATGCGATACGTCGAACCGCGATATATATCCCTTTGATATTAACATACGTGAGATGAAATGAGGCGTTAACTTATGCCACGACACGTTACGATGCGTAATCTGACCGCCAGACATCGTCCGTTTCCTCGAACACCCTCGGAGTATCGTGAGCAATTATCTCTCTTTCACGGGGTCAATTGAGTTTGATCTACGAAAGAAAGATGACACGCGTCGCGCTCGTCCAGCATGAATAATCGCCGTACGTCCGTACGGCCCTTACACTTCCTGTCGGATTTGTGCTCCTAATAGGACTCCTCGGGAACGCGTAAGCGCGCACCTTCGTGAACGGCGAACGCTCTTCGTTCTACGGACAGACGCCTTCTTGCTGGCGCACCGTTGCGTCCGTCGTAAAATTGCCTCCTCCTCGTCATCACAATTGATCGAGTCGGTAAATAGCGCATCTCCGACTCGGAGACTTCCAAGCGAGACGCGTGCAACGACCTTGACGGATAACGAGGACCGTAGGAAGAGAGTGCGACCTGCGGTTATACCACATACGATGCATGCGAGATCGGGAAAGAGATCTATTTTTTTTTTTTTATTTGTCATA